CACAGGATATCCCAGAGAGGTTGTGGTGGGGATTGTACCAGAAGCCAGAGGCCTTGAACCAGACCAATGACTCATTGCAATAGACATTTGCCAATAAAACTGATTGGATGAAGAGGTATATTATATGGCACACTGAAGCCTCCATTGCCACCAGACATTTTTCTGCTGTAATTTTGGTTTTCTTTTTGTTTTGGATTTTTTGTTTCTTTGCTTTGTTTTGGTTTTTGCTTTTGCTTTGGTTCTTTAATTTGTTGGTGGTGCATGCCTTTAATCCCAGCACTCAGGAGGCAGAGGCAGGTGGATCTCTATGAGTTCAAGACCAGACAGGTCAACAGAGAGAGTTCCAGGACAGCCTCCAAAGCTACAGAGAAACCCCGTCTCAAAAATCAAAAAAAAAAAAAAAAAATTGTTTCCTTATGGGGGTGTGGTAGTGGTGAGGGGAGGATGGGGGGACTGGGAGGTGAACAGAATTGGGGTGCATGATGTGAAACTCCCAAAGAATTTATATAGTTAATTAAAAAAAAATCCCAGCATAATGGCACACATCTATTACACCAGCCCAGTGTGTGTGTGGGGGGGGGGGGGGGGGAAAAAGGGGGGGGGGAGGGGAGGGAGGGGGAAGGGGGGATTTTCAGGATCAATAAGAGACTCTGTCTCAAAAAATAAGAGGAAGACACCTGACATATCCCTCGCTTTCGTATGAGCACACACAAGCAAGTGTGCACACAAGTATACATACACGCACCAATAAATTATTTAGATGAGGGGCTAGAGAGATGGCTTAGCAGTTAAGAGCACTTGGCTTCTTCCAGAGGACTCAGGTTTAATTCCCAGCACCCACATGGCAGCTCACAACTGTCTGTATCTCCAGTTCCAGGGGATCTGACACCCTCTTTTGGCCTCCTATGTGCACTGCATATATTTAGTGCACTGACATCCATTCAGTCAAAACACCCATAAACATAAAAGTAAGAGAAAAATTTTAAAATGTTAAAGAGATTTAAAAAATATTTAAATGAATTTTTATCAAAGTTACATAACAAAATCCACCATTTTAGGTGGATTATTCAGTAGTTCTTAATATATTCATAATATTGGGCAACTACTATTTCTGTCCAGTTCCAAAACATTTTCATCATCTGTAAATGAAACTCCCATACCTATTATGTAACTACTCCCCATTCCCTCATTCACTGGGGACTGCCAATTTGTGCTTTTTGTTCTTTGTTCCTGCTTTTTCTCTAAAAACAAAAGAGTATTTATCGTGTATCCAGTGTTCTGCCTGCATGTTTGCCTGCACTCCAGAAGAGGGCACCAGATCTCATTACATGATTGCTGGGAATTGAACTCATGACCTCTGACAGGCAGTCAGTGCTCTTAACTGCTGAGCCATCTCTCCAGTCCCAGTTCCTGCTTTTTCTAGTCCTTTCTGCCAATAAGGCCAACTTTTTTCAGCTCATCAATTAGGTCTTTAAATTTGGTGTGTGTGTGTGCGTGCGTGCGTGCGTGCGTGCGTGCGTGCGTGCGTGTGTGTGTGTGTGTGTGTGTGTGTTTCTAGAGTAAGGTTTAATGCTGAGGGAAAAGACAAGATTATGAAAAAAAGACGTCTTTTCTTTTCTAGAAATTATGCACAGGTAAGGCGAAGGTGTGCTTTCAGAGGGTGTGTTGTGTAGATCGCAGCAGCACTGCCCTCACTAACTCCTCATCAAACAGCAGGGCAACACTATGAAAATGATGACTTGAGTCTTTTCTTTTGATTGCTGTTATGCGTGTATTCTATATACCTAATAGAATAATACTTCAAGAAGTCTTGCTTGACACCATTGTGAAGTGGTACACCTCATTCCCTGACAAACGGCACTGTTTCGTTGTCTTCATGCCATTTATCACTTTGAGCTGTCCCCCCAGTATTATTAATTTTATCCAATTAACGTCCCTCACCCTTACTGGCATGCATGCTTGTTTTCTCTCGGTCAACAGTGTTCCCAATTTAGGCCTCCAATTATTTTTGTTTTCATTTTTGTAATAAACCAGTGAATGGAGACTCCATCTCTAAGGTACTTCACAAACAGAGGGGTGAAACGCTGGAAATGCCTGTGTGATGGGACAGGGGCCGGGGAGGA